ACTTCTAACGATATCAAACTTTATATACAAATCCATCTACAGGATTTCTACAAACCGTTAAAAACGACTGAAATCATTTTTTTAGCAATTTAATAATTTATCAGAACTTCTACCTTGAATTTATTTTCTAAAGCAACCAATTGCTCATAAGTAAAAGCTGTACGAGCCCTTCGAGCCTTGTTTGAATTTCCTGTTTGTGTATTTGATCTTCCTGAATTAGCAAATGTTAAGAAAACTATAACCCACTACTATAACCCAAATTCAATTGACTTTGAACCCAATTCACTTTGAATCCTCACCTCCCTGTTGTTGTGCGGTGATGTTCTTGTCATCTGACAAGAGCTCATCAACTCGAAAACCACGCTTGTCATTCATGTTCAGCTGGGTTGAAAGAAAAGAAGTGATTTAATCATAATTATCAAATGGTTATTATGGTTAATGAAAATCAGATCTGAGCAGGCATAATTGGATATAAAGTTTTGGGAATGAAGATTCCTGAGGGAAGGAAGGAACAGAAAACGTAGAAATTGAAGGGAGAAGTGCTTGTTCGTACAGTACTTTCAAACAAAATAAGCCGGGATGTTGCTACTTCACTCAGTTGCCGCAACTTCACAAAGTTGTCACAACTTCACAAAGCTGCCGCAACTTCAGCGCTACAGTAATAGGTTTATGAAAAGGCAAAATTTACTAGAGGCAATCAAGAACTATGTCCAGGATTTCGTAAATTCATTCTTCAGACGTACAGCTCTATGGCACAAAGGTGAACAACGTTTAACAAAGACTTATGCCTTCAGCCGACCGATTTCAGCCAAACCATAGCTCAAGGATGATTATAAAGATAGTATAAGCAGAAATCGCTGTGTTTGGGCCTGATCACTGACTTAAACACACAACAAAAGCAAGAAGCTATCCAGAACCTAGATGGGGCGTGGTTGAGCCGTGATCGTGATTGGTTCCGAGCGGCGATCTCGGCTCGACTTTCATCACTCACGATCCGAGTAATTGCTCATGAGACCCGCCTGCTGCCAGTCTCACCGCTCAAACCGATAAATGCCTCTATCAATTATTCGATTTGCTTGTTCAATTAGCATTAACATGTGTCCCCCCATGCTGCTCTGCACCACACACACACAGTTGCTTGATAGACTCTTTATCAGCTCTGTACACGTAGAAATCTTAGAAATCTCATTTGCTTTCTCAAACTAATTCACTCATGAATACATCGTGCTTGAAAATGTTGAATAATCTCGACAATTGGCTATCCTCCTTCCGTCGCTCCTGCAGCTTCTGAAAATACCTCATTCGAAATCAAAATTTAAAAAAAAAAGATGCAGCTGAACTTACATCCACTGCCGACACAATGCTGCTCATTTTGTGAAGACGTGAAGCATAATTGGGCATTCGAAGTTCATAAGTGTAGTAGCTATGCACATCTTCGGCTAAACGGTTTTTCACTTGTTCTGCTATACTGATGGTCTCTTTGGTCACGTTCGGAATATCTGAAATATATGGTACTGAGTTCTTTTTCGTCCAAAAATCATAGGATTTGGGTCGATTTCAAGAGAAAATTTATTGAATCTTGCAAAAAATCTCTTAGGTTTCATTGGATGTCAGTGCTGCTTCTGGCAACTTCCGGAACGCTATACTGAGATTTAGTAATACAACAATTTCGGCAAACAACGCGTGAACAATATGTATCTTTCGTCAAAGCTATTGTATACTGTAGGTCTACTGTAATAATGCCCTATGGTGATTCAGTAGGAATCTTATGTTACGCAATAAATTTTTGGAAAGTTTTTTCCTCATAACGGAAACAATCTAATGCAGAAATAGCCTTGCGTGATTAGTTAAGCTCTTTCATAGCCCCTGTAGGAATAGCTTTTGCTTTCTTTCAAACACTATACTGTAGAGCTGGCTTCAGCTTGAATTTACAGAATCGAGCGAGCACCGGCCGCCCATCACAACTGTAAGATTACGGTAGGCTGGAAGAGGTTTTACTCCGCCACAAAAAATAAAATAAACAACCTGTGAACTCATACATTAGGCCAGTCAGAGCCGCTGACACTAAATATGAACTTCGCACATTACCGCAATACTTCGTTCATAATGTGATAAACCGCAATAGCTTCTTTATAATGCTCTCTCAAAAAATTGAGACCATTTTAGAAGCTTTATAAGCTCGCAAAAAGTTGAGTATAAAAATAGTGCGCATGAAAACCCCGGTACACAACCCTTTATATTGGTGATTTTTTTCAAGCACTGCGTCTCCGCGCTGCAAGTTTCTACAGTAGTCCTACAGTAATGGAAAGCGATCGGTGATTCGCCCCTAACCGTAACCGTTAAAACCAGCTCTACGATATGGTGTTCGACGGAAGGCGAAAGCTCCTCATACAAGAGACTTTTTAGGGCACCTTGTATGTGGTTCGTTTTAGCACCTGTAAGATTTTTGAAAA